CGGGATGTTGCGAAAAAACTAGGGACCACGTCGAGTAACGTCATGCGTGCCAAAGAAAGACTTGGGCTAAAAACATACCGGAAGCAGAAAAAACCCAATAGAAACCCAGAACAAGCCACGTCCGTGAAACCACGGGCCCGCAAACTCTACGATTCGTTATTGTGTTGAAATTCTGGGTGTATAATAATGGACGACGAAACGTACGTGAAACTAGATTACAAAACGCTTCCCGGCCCACAATTCTATTCTGTAAGCGAAGGCAAGGATATCCCCGAAACGGAGAAGGCAATTTTTACCGAAAAATTCGGTAAGAAGGTTATGGTTTGGCAGGCAATATGCGAGTGTGGTAAAACATCTAGTCCGTACATCCTAACGGAGACGATGAACACTCAGAAATACGTTAAGGAATGTCTCCAGAAGCGATTGTTGCCGATGATCAGGCAGCACGAAGGTCAAGTAGTATTTTGGCCTGATTTGGCGTCATGTCATTACGCAAAGGACACTTTAGAATGGTACAAAAGTCAAAATGTATGTTTCGTGCCGAAAGACATGAATCCGCCGAACTGCCCGGAGTCATGGTCAATCGAGACTTTTTGGGCTTTAACCAAAGCAAAGCTTCGAAAATTAATAAAACCAGCGGACGACATCCAAAAATTCAAAAAAGTTTGGCCAAAAGTGGTCAAAATGGTGGGAAGTACCACTGTGCAGAAGCTAATGGGTCATGTTCGAGGAAAAGTTAGGAGTCTTGGCTATGATTAAATATATTGATTAAACGAGAGTAAAATATCATTTGAAATACAAATACAAATATGATTTGCCAAATAAAATTATTAAAACTTAAAAAAACATGAATTTTTTTTTGTTATTTTGAAAGTGTGCTTATACTTTCTGGAACAGTCTATATACTCTTCGTGGTAATTAATGCAGGACATCCCAATATCGTAGAACATCACATAAGGGTCGTAAAATCGTAAAAATCATTAAATGGGAGGGATAATGACCTCCTTGCCCTCTCGGGACGCATGCATAAGGCCATGGAAGATGGAAACACCGTGTAATTTTTTTTTTCTAATGCATTAGGAAGGTTAACGGGGCATCAGTTAGCACAATTAGTACTAAGAGAAAGGTTAGGGAAGAACTGATGATTTGTCCTGAATCGCCTACCCCATACACAATCATGCTGCTATGCTAACCATGCACTCTACGCGCTCGATGTACAAGCACGGTAGAGGGTAGAGCGAGCCCAAGTATGAATATTAGTTTTATGACGGTTATTTGGTGCATGATCTCAGGAGAGGTTTCAGGCCTTCCCCAAGACGTTTCCAGACGTTCTCGATGAAGGTACCAGGCGTTTTCCAAGATGATTTCAGTCGTTTCCGAAGATAATTCCTGATGCTTAAGACGGAGACTCAACCCAGACAACCAGAATGCACGTATATTCAAAGTTGTTCCTGTGATATACAAACATATATACAAACAATCAAATCGTATATAATGCAAAAAAAGGGCTTATACCTACAAAAGTGGAGACCGAGGTGAAGGCCATATCCGTGCAAATTTTAATTTCTTATCATATACGATTTAATCTGTCATAACAAATTCAATTGGAAAAGTCTTACGATGTAATCCAATTGAATGTGTACAGTACAATGGAAATATGATTCATCGCATATAAGTCGGAAATTTGCATTCTATACGATTTAACTTAAACACAATGCGATGTATGTCATACTTATATGCGATGTTACCATAGGAGATTTAACATGTTTTCGAAAAAAGATTCCAGCTGTTGCCGAAGATGATACCAGGCATTTCTGGCATGAGATTCCAAACATTCCCAATTGAGGTTCTAGACCAAGGTTGTTAAGGACGCTATTGTCAGCGTTAACGTCTGCAATGCAAATTTCCATTGCAGGCGTTAAAGTTGTCGCTATCGGCGATGACGCCATTAACAACACAATTCCAGATGCTCTCGATGTAGGATCCAGACGTTCCCAAAGATGATTCCAGACGTTCCCGAAGATGGTTCTAAATGCTTCAGACGTTAACAACGGAGATTCCACACGTTTATGATGAAGGTTTACAGCTGTTGCTGAAGATGATTCCAGACGTTCCTGACGCAAAATACCAGACGTTGCTGAAGACGATCCCAGGCATTCTCCACGGAGATTCTAGGCATTCCCAAAGACGATTTCAGACGCTCCAGTGGGATACTCTAGACGTTATCGAACGAGATCCCAGCTGTAGCTGAAGATGGTTCCACGCATTCCTAACACGAGAATCCACAGACGTTTACAAAAATGATTCCAGACGTTCCCGAAGATTCTAAACAATTTGAAAAAAACCTTGGAGCTCCATAAAGTGTTTCAGGTAATGACTGTTATGTATGTGAATGAAATCAAGCTCGGAAAAATAATACCGAGTTTTTCGCTCATCTATACAAGATCGAATAAACATCATTTTAACTCTGACTGATGTCTAAAGTCCACTGGAGCGTCAAACAACTTCCCTGTACTAAAAATATTTGAAGCTAGAGTGTGTCCGCCTTGGGAAGTGGTTCTTGATTTATCAATGACTATTTTTAAGGGATTACAAGTTTTCATTTGATCCAACTATCCAGAGGATCATTTAGTGGTGGTTGGAAAATCCATACATAGTTATGGCACATTTCCTTGAATCTATACACTACCATGTAGAAACATAGATTGATGTATAATTCAACTTAAGTTGGGGAAAACTGGGTAGCTTTAATATAAATTAATTAATTTCACAAAATATATAACCACCTTTCAGAATGCTTTAATTTATTTTAAAAAAATCTTCAGAATTGTGTGAACCCATCTGGATGAGAATGATTTATTGTGTTGCCAGCTCTAAATTTATGTTCGGAAGTCTGACTTACGACTTTCGATCCTACTTCCGACTTTTACGGAAATCATTACTTTATAAAATGTTGTTGTTGTTGTTATTGTTGTTATTGTTAGTACTTTCGGCAGCTCTTTTGCAATTTACAGACGCGAATTCATCAGCGACATACAGATAATATATGTTATATAAAGGGTGTACCATTTAAAATCCGCACACACTCTAATTGCTCTAACTTTTGATCCGTTCTGTAAAATTAATTGAAATTTTGCGTAGACATAGTGTGTTGTGTATTAATGTGTATTGTTTACACTCTGTTAGTTGATTTCATCAGGTGCGCAAAAGTTTTCAAAATGGCGACGAAAAAACAATGCGTGCGATCTGCCGCATCGTGCCATCGGAAAAAAGTTGGGAATCGTGAATCGTGGCAAAAAAGTTGCATGTGAGCAAGACTTTCGTGTAGAATTCCAAAACTCGAGCTGGACTACGTACGTTTAAGGTTCAAAAGTCCCCGTGACGAGAAACAGAATACGGTCGCAAAAAGCCGTGCCCGGAAGTTGTACGAACAGAAGTTAACGAAATCACGAAACCAACCAGATTCCAGGAAACCTGTATGTGACTGCCAAGGATAAGTGTGATGTTCCCGAGAACCTCCGGACTTAGAAGATATCGAAGTTCGCCAAGAAGTTCTTAATTTGGCAAACGATTTGTACTTGTGGATAGCTGAGTACACCATTCGTTACCGCAAGTACCATGAATGGACAGGTGTATTTGGAAGAGTGTCTCCAAAAGCGGCTTCACCCTTTCCTGAAGGCTCACGATGGTCCGACGATCTTCTGGTCGGATTTGGCATCATGCCACTACACTACACGAAGGACGTGCTAGAGTGGTATAAGGCGAATGATGTCGATTTCGTGCCGAAAGATCTGAACCCCCCAAACACTCCGGAACTGCGCCCAATAGAAAAATACTGAGCCATTATGAAGGAGCACTTTTTAAAAACGACCTAAAGTGGTGAAGAATGTTGAAGAAATGAAGAAAGCATGGGTTAATATGCAAAACACTGTAGAATCTGAAGTCGTGGCTGGGGTTAAGGCCAAGGTTCGCGCATTCGGATATAAAGGCGAAATAGATTAAATGAATGATGCCAAAATTAATTTTTATTTTATTTTTTACTCCCTGAAAATTTGGTGATAATCGGATAAAAACTCGAATTTGAGAATGAATTTTGTGTGTCGGATTTTAAACGTTACACCTTTTAAATGCACAATAGATAATATTTAGGTAGGGTAGAGAACTACTTCGGCCATTTAGGGGCTATCAAGCAGACAACATCAAATAAATCCATGATGCGTTTGGTACGATAATTCTGTTCAAAATCTACCGAACGAAGTCAACAAGAACGTGTGATATGAATGTTTGCACCCATCAAATACAAATGAAGCGCTCCGACCGAATAAATCTTTATCTTCATCCGATAAACCGAAGTGAATTCATTGGCGTTTCAATGCGTTAGGCCGAGTTTGGCGTCAAGAAGCAGTGTTAGACTTTTAATAATATCTCAACAATTTGTTTCTCTTTATCAAATCTTACGGTACGTATGGAAAGGTAAATAAATTTGGAAGCCATCAGTAATAATAACATTCCGTTTGGTGCTAAACTACGCTAGATTAAGAAAGAATAGGTGCGGGTTGTGCTTAATATGCCGGAAATGGGGTAGTTAACCCTATCTTGACTTCCCATGATAGAAAATACTGGGAAAAGGAAGAGTCTTAGGTCGTGATAATTTGTGATGAGTGCTATGCTAGCTGTTGCCCTGAAATTAAATTGTATTCCTCTTTTTTACACATGAGCAATCACATCGCACTGTTTCGATTTATGTTTTTATTCAATCGACCACTTTTCAGTTTCAAACGGAATACTTTGTTCAATGCCTATATATTTCTGCGTCACAATGAATGATAGAGTTAAAAACTAACTCTCTACAGGAAGCACTGAATGCTGACAGTGTGATTCCAGCTGTGCCATGCTGAGTTTGCAATACATGGTCCCACTGTCACTGTGCTCCTGTATTTTTTTTAAGGGAAATCGACCTCCAGAGGTGGTAAGAAATAACAACTCAGACAGGTACCTACTCCCACGGCTTATGCTGCAACGTGCAGCTTCCTGCATGGCTGGGTGTAGTATTTTGGTATGTATACATTGAAACAGCGAATTAGTGTCCCATAGTGTTTAAGCTAGCTAAACCCATCCCATTTCTGGATTCGCTCTGCATGGCTGCTAAAGGGCAAAAATTAGCCTTGTCTCACTTCGCGTACTCCTCTGAACGCTCAATGTCCCATTCTCCGAGCTTTTCTAGTAACATACACTAGCTTGAATGTAAATAAACATATATTTCACACACTCACAACACTACACATACTGCAGTCGCGGTGGAAGGGGAGCATGATTAGGAGTCATATCCATTGCGTTTCCTTCACTGACTTCACGAATGAGGTTTGTTCGGGAAATCACTTTCCTCGTCTTGATTCACGATAGCTCTGACGAATTTCATTGGAATAATGCCGTGAATCGTTCAGAAATCATTCACAATCAATCTCGCACAGCATCAATAACTGCATGTTGCATCCCATCCTAATACCTCAAGCTTTTTCTTTGCACACACTCACACATACACCTTTAATACTGGTAGCAGCAAGCAGCACTTTACCACCCAAGTGGGAGGAAAACGCCCGTTTTCTAAAAGCGTCTATAATGCGCGGCGTCTCGATTGGAACTGAAGGAAAAATCGTCGCCTGTGAGATGTGTTTCGTGGGAATAAGTGGAAAACAGTAGGAGAGCAGAGCATAGCAGCTACGACCGCTACGACAGAGAGCAAAAATATTGCAAACAAACGTTCCAGACCTAAATAAGGGGTCAGTGTCAGTGTAGAACCAGGACGAGAGTTTGGTTTACTGCGCTCAGAAAACCCAGTGCCCGTGTGCTCCGAGTTTGAATCTTTGTTGGTGAAACTTCAATTAGCTTCGCATAGCAGCTTTACTAAATAGGGTGACTATTATGTGGGATGTGGTACTACTCTTAAATCCAACAGGGAAATGTAAGATTCTTTTACTCCGCACCACTGAGCTCATAAGCAATTGTGATGATAGCAATAAGTGCTCCGAAGACACTGTGTGGAATTGTTGTGTCAATGGTGCATCTGACTTTTACGCCTGGCATTTTAGGAAATTGATCTACATTCCTGGATGTTTGATTGTTGATAGCGTTTCCAAGTTGTAGCAGTCCCATGTCACTAGCCATACGGTTGACCTCAAGGAGTCTGATACTGTTATTTTCGCATTAAATGTGCATTGGATGATCATTGGCCAAGTAACAATTTGGGTTTCATGAGAGTTCTGTTGACCATGATTTAGGCTTGTAGACTGCATTAAAACCACAATAAAACTTGAAATGTTACTTTGGTGGTTCTCGAAAACCATAAGCATGTAATCTCTTAATCGGCTTTTTGGTTATTTAGATCGTTACCATTCCAGAACGAACTTCTTGCTTCAAACGCAGTTAGTCATTTCTGCTAATGACATTGACGTCTGCACCAGAGTCGATAAGAAAACATATCAAACCCAACACTTAAAAAGGCCTCAAATTCATTTTGTAAACAAACCTTGTAAGGCCATTTTCTCGTCAATCAAAGCCCGCAAACGCAAACCAACAAAATGAACAGGTAGGGGAAATTTTCCTCTATCCGATTGTGTGTCGTTCACACTTAATCTAGCTCGGTAAAATCTCCAACAGCCGATTACCTCGGCATTTACTTTTGCTGATATCTCTGCAAAATATCTGTTTGTTAGCTGATATCTCAGCAAAATGTTATTTGTTAGCTGAGTCTCGGCAATTGTTTTACTGTATCTCAGCAAAATAAATTGCAAAACTGGTCGGCTGTTGGAATTTCGGCGAAAAAATTTAAGTGTGTTGGTTTTGGCCTGCTTGACTACCTCACTATTCCTCAGTCCACTTTACAGTGGCGGACGCACAAACAAATCTTCGTCGGCTGGATTGTATTTAAACTACCGAACACAACAGCTGATTCACCGAATATTCTCGAAAATACCTCATATTCTGCAGCAGTATCTGTCAAAGAACAAAGGTCTAGGGTAGTTTTGTATATTCGTTACGAAGGTCGTGTAACAGATCGGTTCCGTCAAGCCTGGTCGCAGCTTGGCTGCTTGGTTCCACTCCTCCTACACACTTAGGTTTTTTGCTGAGAGCAGCTCGGGATATTTGCAGGCTTGCAATTGCTCATTACAGCTAAAATGCTATTTTTCGTTATTATGAAACAATGGGATACTATAATGATAATTTTTATTTGTAAGATGCAAGAAGAGGTGGTGAAGATTGTATATGACATATAAAATTTGTCAATTTTGCTTTCAGAAGGTCACAACTAGCGATTTTATGATCGCTGATTGCTCGCTCATCGCGTTGCTCATCGTTACAGCTAAACGCTAGTTGTGACCTTCTGAAAGCAAAATTGACAAATTTTATGTGTCAAATACAATCTTTACCGCCTCTTCTTGCATCTTACAAATAAAAATTATCATTATAGTATCCCATTGTTTTATAATAACTAAAAATAGCATTTTAGCTGTAATGAGCAATGCAAGCCTGGATATTTGTATGATTATATGAAGTTTCAAACGCGGTTGATGATTTCAAAAGTATATTTTAGTGCTCGTGATTAAGGAAAAAATCTTAGGAAATGTGTCCTAGTCGAGGGAAACCCATTCCGAAAAATGAATTTCCAAAAAATTAAGTGTCGAGGAGGGAATCCTCTGGAACCGATTCGCGGGCAAAACGTAGGTACCCGTGAATGTGTAAAAAACCTGGGTGAAGTGCATTAAGACAATTTAGAAGAAGAGTGAAGATGTCGCATACTCGCAAAGAATGAGAGAAGGAAGTTTCGTGATGGCTTTGGATAATATTGAGTAGCTGGTAGAATTTGGTGAGACTTTTCCGAATCCGTTACTGATTTGGCCAAAACCAGGCCCAAGAGACAATTTCTAGTTCCTCATTCTTGGTCCCTATTATTTACCGCTGAGAAAATGTTCCGAAGCCAAGTAGAACCTCCACGAGGCGTCCCATCATTCGTCCCATCATTCGTCCCATCATTCGTCCCATCATTAATTCCATCATTCGTTGCGTTGCAGCGTTGAACCTAACTATTGGCCACGAAAAGGCTTGCCAATGCACATCAAAAATCGACTACATACATCAGAACATTTGTTTATCTCAAATCGACGGAAGACATTCCGCGCAACTACCATAAACCGAACTACCCAATAAACAATTTTAACTGCAGATTAGCTTATACAGCCAAAAATTGGCTTATACAGCTAATTTTTGCCTGTATAAGCTAGTCTGAAGCTAAAATTGTTTGTTGGGTAGTTCATATTGAACTTCGTCAAGCATCGTTTACAATTTGGACTTATACATCAACACTAGGGTGTTTCATTCTGGAAAAAAAATGATATTTTTGATAGGCCACCTCCTAGTTCAGTTCATAACACAAAAACAAACAACTGTGCAAAGAATCAGCTAAATTGGTCAACGTTAATGCCTTGTTCAGACTGGAGAGTTATAACATGTTATAACGGTTGTCAAATAATTGCAACACAGAAACCACCATCAAGATAGCGCTATAACATGTTATAACTATAACTCTGCAATCTGAACGTACTATAAGAGGTCGCGAGAACGATTTCAATTCTGTTCGGGATTTTCGTCAAATTAGTATGGGAGAAAATGATGACCCACTGCGATATCCTACGCAGGTGTGGAAGCTGCCTTCCTGCACATTCGATTGCCGTCAATGGATGGCAATCGATGTCCGTCGGTGATTGGCACTAGATTGCGGAGCAGAGACCGACGTTAAATAAAGGAAAGAAGAAAAGAAGAAGAAACATAAATTTTGCTGAATGTTGCAAGTTTTTCACTGATATCCATCAACATAAAATGCCGAGCTGCTCGAGGGTGTCCATCTTCACAAAAATCTAAGTGTGTAGAGGAAGAACTTTCATTTCAGCACGTGTTCACCGAGGTGTTCACGTCTTTTGAAAATCCCCAGCTATTATAAGCATCGTCGTTTCGTTGTGGTTTGGACCTGGAAGTGATTCAAGGCGACGTTTATGTTCTCGAGCACCTTTTCGATTCGTTCGATCTGGGCGGCATTGCTTGCGCGTTCCGATTCTCTTGACATTGCGTCTTTACGATTGGTTACCTTTGAGCTCGATGAACCCGATGGAGATCCGGACGAATACGGAATCGATTCATCGTGCGAACCAGTGCCTCCTTCATCGCTGCGGTCTTCGTCACTACCTGAGGCGTCGGACGATTCATCGACGTCACTGACGCTGTTTGGGGTTTCTCGGTTGTCCGTTAATGCGGTTATGGTCTGGTCAGTGTGATTGTCACCCCATGTGGAACTTTTTATCATGCGAACGTATTTACCTTGCTTTCCCATTTCACGTGATATCTTTTCAGGTCCTTGCTATTTATCTGTAATGATACGAGCAAACAATATACGATACATTGGTCAAACTTCGGATCAAACACTTTTCATGTAGGTATTTGTCTAGGTTTGATCACGGAAACTCGAATTCACTCAATCAGCGCCATTCTTGGCTGACGGTGGCCAAATGCATTTTATCGGGGTCATCTTGACTCGATACACAGGTGCGCGATCAATCGATCCGCCAAACTTAAGTGCGTGATCATCGAAAAGGTGAAAAATCTGCTGCAATGCAGCGTCCATAAAATACGTAACGCTTATAGGGGAGAGGAGGTCACCTATAGCGCTACAAATTGTTACATAGGGGAGGACTAGTAAAGCTTTGCGTCACGTAACAAAGAGAAGAAAAGAAAATGTCAAAACATGTAATCTAAAAATCTAAATAGATACACACTTAAATGTTTTCGGCCGAGATTCCAACAGCCGAGTAGTTCTGCAATTTATTTTTCTGAGATTCAATAAAACAATTGCCGAGACTCAGCAAGCAAATATGATTTTGCTGAGATATCAGCTAACAAACAGATATTTTGCAGAGATATCAGCAAAAGTAAATGCCGAGGTAATCGGCTGTTGGAGATTTTACCGAGCTAGATTAAGTGTGTATGTTATAATTTTATATCTTGAGTTTTTTGCTATACTTAAAATTTTGAAAAGCAGGTACTCGATGGTACCAACAATCAATTCGAAACTAACGAACTTTCATAGCAAATCAAAACAAACATAGTGTAGTACTAGAATTTCGACTATAATGGGATACGTTAATCGTTTGCTTGGCACCAATAGGCTAGTCAAGTACACAGAAAAAAAAGTTGTTGATTATTACATCCAAACTGCTGCAACCAGGTCAATCCATCGGTTGTGTAATATAACGTTTTATGATGTACATCGATTTTGCGAACAAAATTACATCCATTGATGTAATATTGTATCTGCTTTTTGCTATTACATCATTATTTCATACATCAGCTTGAATTACATTGATCGATATTATAATTTGTTTTGTTTTGCTGTGTAGTGAGCCAATTTAAAATCGTTAAGATCACGAAGGGCGTACCTTACAAATTTCCTTTGGATCGCTTCGATCCTAGCAATCCACGTTTTTTTATACGGGCACCAAACTACAGCATTTGATTCCAGTATCGACCGTACCAGAGAACAATATAACGAACGAAGGCAGAGAGGGCCACGGAATTTGTTGGCTATCTTGAAGATGAATCCAAGCTGTCGGTTAGCTCTGGAGATAATATCGAAGTAATGTAAACTGGAGGTTAGCGCAGAATCAAGGATAACTCCCAAATCCCGTACTTGATAAATACGGTCAAGAGGCTGCTGGGCGATGTTGTAGTGTTGTTGGCTTCTGTTTTCTGTGGAACGAGATAACGTTGCATTTGTAAATGCTTAGTGTAAGCCTATTTCTGGAGCATCACTCAGCGAAATGGTCTATTAATTGCTTGTAAATGTTGACGTCATCAGCATAGAATAAGCGGCAGCCAGGGGGCAGTGCTTTACATAACTCATTGATGAAAATTGAGAACAGCAGGGGACCCAGGTTGCTCCCCTGTGGCACACCTGATATGTTGGTGAACGGTGCAGAACATTCACGTCCAATCTTCACAATGAGTCTCCGGGTCCGTAAGATAAGATCTAAACCAGCAGGTCAAGTTTGAAGAAATTCTAAGTCTTTCAAGTCGTTCAAGCAAAATCCATTTTACGCAAGCAAAATTAAGTGAACTGGACGAGGTTCGTAGATGCCGATCTCTTTGGATAGAATCCGTGTTGATCTGAAGAAATATAATTCCTGCATGAGGTGAACAGCATGTCGTTGATTATGATCTCAAAAATCTTCGGCACAGTGAAGTTATTCCACGATAGTTCTCAATGTTACGCTTATCGCCCTTTTTGTGAACTGGAAATATAATGGAAGTTTTCCAGCTGGAGGGAAATTTACGCTCACGCAAGGAAATGTTGAACAGTTGAGTCAGAGGGTGAATCATAGCATCGGAATACCATCATGGCTAGGTGATGTGGTGTATTTCAATTTATCGATGGCAGATTTAACCTGTTGGAGAGAAATCTGAAAATTTCCCAATGAACAGACGTTCATTGCTCAGCAGCTTATCAATAGATTTTAAATCTACTGAAACCGAATAAATATGTTAAGTATGTAGTTCCAAATGGCGCCAATAGATTTGAAATTTGTAAATAAATGGCTGAGATTTTTCAAACATTGCAAGTTTGCTGTTACACATTTTACCGGAGGCATCGTGTTAAACGTTCGATACCGATAAGCTGGAGAACAATCTGGCAACGCTGACTAAAATATCGGCACTCGCTTGCATTGCTGTAGTGAGCATCCCTACGATTCTTATTAGACTTTTTTGAAGTATCGAAAACGTCAAAATCTTCGGAAGACGAAAACACTTTTGCGAAAACATTCAAGATTTCTAGCGGCTGCTGTTAGCTTCGTGTGATCCCGTATTTTGACTAGACGTAAAAATGATGTAATTCGGAGGATTCTCGCACTGTTTTTCCTTGTAAACGAGCCCTGTAATGTCGCTATCTATGCTAAGAAGCATTTGCCGGCAGCAACAGCTCGTCCATAAGCAGACAACATTGGTCTGCTATCGTTTTTGCCACCAGGATCAGCAGAAAAGGAACGATGGGTAAGTGGCGGATCAGCTGATTAGAGGAGCAGCTAGTGATAATCAAATCAAAATACGAGTAACTGTTGTGATAATACGCCATTCTTCTTCCAGAAGCGTGCAACAGCCTCCGAACGCAAAGGAAAAGCTCGCAGTCAAGTACAGCCGAGAGAATGTTAAACGGAATGTTCAGGGCTACGTGTTCTCCCGGTTTTTTGACTACGTTAAAAACTATGATAAGGTCCTTGAGAAGAAGTTCCCTTCCGCTATGCACGTCTACCGTGTATTTCTGGTAGGAGTGAAGGAATTTTTCAACGACATGAAAAAGCTAGTCAAAATCACTAAAATAGTGTTTATTAATGATAATGATCTACGATGTTTGACCCGGAAGGAGATCGAGCTGTACTACCAGATGCCGAGGGACATGAAGAAAGTTGCCCCAGTCCTGTTGGTTTCGGCGCTGCCGTTTGCCAACTACGTGGTGTTCCCATTGGCGTAAGATTTCTCTTTGATTTTCTCTAATGGAAATACTACAATTCTTTTCTTTTACACAGATACATGTATCCACGAACTTTTCTAACTCCTCATTTTTGGTCGATACAACAAAAACTAGATTTTGCCCAACAGGATCTGAAGCAGAGGCTACAATATAATCGACGAGTTTTTCGCTGTATGCAGTCAAAGCTGGACGTTTTGAAGAAGATCGATGACCCCTACTGTGAGAAATTCGGAAACATTCTGGGATTGCTTGGCAGCGGTCTTCACCCGACGTCAGACGAGATCCTGGACGTGAAGGACCTTTTTAAAAGGGCTCCATTCCACCTGAACAACCTTACGTCGAATCATTTGAAATATCTGTGCAAGCTTCATGACTTGAATTCGGGATTGATGCGAAGGTACCGTCTGTCGGAACGAGCCTACGTTGTGCACCACATGGATCTGGCAATCAAACGGGAAGGTGGAGTGCACAATATGCCGGTTGAATCGCTAAAGCATGCGTGTTTCGTTCGAGGTTTGAACGCAACCAATTTGAGCACCGAAAGCATGATCGATTGGTTGAACGAATGGGTCAAAGTGTCCTTAATCATTAACCAAGACAACGTTAGCCTCTTTCTGCACCTTCCGATTCTGCTCTCCTATAACCACCCCAACAATTGGATACTCATCCATTGAAAATGGATACCATTTACCGCTACGAAGGGAAGCTGTTGAATTATTATTATGTTTTACTCCCTAATGGACACGATACATTGGTTATTCAATAAATGAATATGATTCATTTATCTTAATCGCTGTGTGTATGTTTACTACTGCCAGAAAATTTTGCTGAAGAAGTTAGGTTTTCCATATCAAATATTTAGTAGCGCCGATGGTGACTGCCTCTCACTCCAAAGGGCTTGGGGTCAATCCTAATCGGCGGGATTTTATGAGGCATAAAATCTCTGATCATGCCTTGCTTCGGAAGGGAAGTAATGCCGTTGGTCCCGGCCCATGAGTTATTAGTTGAAGGGTCAGGTGCGGGAGCTGCCTGTCTGGCATTGGTAGCATTGGTACTCAGTAAACCTCTGTGAATCTCAGCAAAATAATTTGCAGTGCTAGCCAGTTTTTGGCCCTAGTGGTTCATATCTTAATTTTCAACTTTATCCTTTCTTTACTTACAAGTAAAGAACATATATTTTGCCATATATCTACGCAAATAAAACAATGAAAATGTATTTAAATTTGACTGGAGCACTAGGCATACTAACCCTAGTCGGCTGTTTACTGGCATATTTACCCTAGTCAGCTGTTGGAATCAATATTTAAGTGTGGCACAGTGATGGATGATTTGCTTGTGGATGGCAAGTTTGTTTTTTAGAGAAAGGCTGGATTTTCTGTTGATAAGTGGGTAGAGCGACCTAATCAAGATGTTGCACTTGGTGGGTGTTTTGTCCACATGGGAACGGAACTGCAACTTGCCATCAAGGATGAAACCAAGGTAAACGACTTCACTCGACCATTCAATGGGAATATTATCAAGCTGGACTTTCAAGTTACCAGGTGGCGCAAGCCGAGGTTAATTGGAATGCGGTAATAGTGTGGTTCATTTTTTAGCTGCATAGATACAAATCTTCCAGCCTTAGTCGGACAGAACATCCAGGCTTGATTGGAGTTTTTTTTGGTTTTTTCGTCAGAGCACGAATCATTCGACCCTCATAGATGATGGCAGTGTCATCCGCACACATTGACAAAATACCACCACCCGGAATGGAAGCATCATCTGACGTGAAAATATTGAAGAGGATAGGGCCAAGGAGACTACCCTGGGAAACCCCAGCATTAACGTTGAACGTATCAGAAGGTGAATTGCTCAAAAAGACCTGCAAAGATCTGTCCGACAAATAGTTTTTGAAGATCTTAACAAGGAAGATCGGAAAGTTGTATCGATGCAGCCTTCTCAACATCCAACAAGGCCACGGCAGATGCCTTGAAGACGGACTTGTTCCGCTTGATGATGTTAGTAACCCGTGGTTTGATCTCCAAATATTTCGTAAACTTGGAATGGCAGCCCTAGCCTTCTTGATTCGTGCACCTATGTCCGCTCTTGGTCCCGCCGTCTGACACTATCTAGCTGCCAAGATATTGGAAACTTTCAACCAACTTTTCAGAGCTCCGTTTGACTACTGCTTAAGATAATGTGTCGGTGGTCAGAACATCAATAATAGTGTCGTTACTACCCAAGTAACCAACAAGCCCGTTAATAGCCCGGGCCTTTTTGCAATATAAGTCGGATATACGGCTTTAAATTCTTATATTCGGCTAAAATAAGCATTATATTGCACGTTTTGCATTCGTAGGCATGATGGTTACTATGGTAAAGCGATGGACCGTATGTCGAAAGCACTCCGGTAGCAGAAACGTCATCCACCAACATTAAATTTTTGCTTGAAGCCAAAGTTGTTGGTTCTTTGGCTCGATTATCTGTCAATCTAAGACAGCTGATGCAAACATTTTGAAATTATCCTCTGTGTCCCGGCTCCGTTCACATAGATGGTTGATTTGTTGCATGAGCATGATTGACCGCCCACGTTTGTTACTCTGTTATTGCCAGACCAGCTGTAATTACACAGAGAACCAATAGATGCTCCAAAAATCTCACACTAGCGAATCAATCTTCGAAAAATCACCTTTCATTTCTCGCATCTACTTGCATCGCGCTTCATCTTTTTGCAGGAAATCTTCAAAATCAACATAAATCTTCCTTCTATCTACTCAGCGTGCGTGCAGCTAGCCACAGCAAAACACAATCTTTTCCGCATCGTAGATAGAGTCGTCGCCCTCAGTAAAAACTGATGATCTAGAACTAGGCAGTACCAGCGCCGGCCGTGTCCGAACACAGGTCAAGAAAGGAAGGGGCAGGAATGTGTTGATGTGACACAAGCCAAGAACACCTCTGTACTTCCACGAGGAATCACTGGGATATTGAGTAATAGGGTTGAGTTTGCAGCAGGGTTCGTTTTGGTAAACGGTAAGCTGAATTGATGTCCTAACAAAGCAAAACCGGTTGCTCTAAGGCCCCCGAGCCACTCATATCACATTATAGCGTTAGTCAAGTTTTTATAACTATTCAAACCCGACACCGACGACAAAGAAAACTTTTATAAAATACACAATAAACAAGCGATCTTACCATATATTTTTAATATGAAAGGACGTGGGACCGCGTTTTTCTGCTCAGTAAGCAAGCCACGCCACTGCAACCGACGATCTTTGAAATCCTTAAACTAAAAGCTACGAAAGAGTACTTAGGTCTTCATTAAGATCCACTTTCACGCGACGTTCAATGTTTCGATTTTCTCTTTACGCATGGTTCAGGCAATCATAACAAGCTATGACCGACGTGACGATTGTTTAAGACCTGGTTAAACAAGCTATTCAAATGAAATTACGTTCTCGAATTTCACTTGGCATGCAATTAATAACAGAAATACGCGATAATCCATATATTCAGCGGTTGGTGGTTAATTTTAAATATACTAACGGTACTGCCTACGGCGACTACGACGGCGATTACGACAGCGACTACGACGGCGCCTACGACAACGACAACAGCAAATTTGTTACTTACAATTTTTTTTTCCTTTGGTTTGTTTTTTCCGTCGATCTTGTTTTCCGTGCTGAGCACCAATGCTACCGACGTGCCAGGAAGGCAGCTCCCACACCCTACCTATCGACCCATCAACTCATGAACCGGGGACCAACGACTTTACTTCCCATCCGAAGGAAGGCGTGATCAGAGATGTTATGCCTCAGAACATTGAGAGGTAATCACGCTTATCACTACACCACCGGCGCTGTTACTTACCATTTGTCTAGGATAATATTGCCCGGCTTCATGTCCGCTATCTGTCACTGTTTGCAAATATATCTAAAAGCAATTACCTTTGTTGTAATACTTCCTGCATTGCCATGGTCATCTGGGAGGAGGGTCGCATCTAGTGCTTTCCCCAGGAACCGTTCACGGCCACCAGCTACCGCCCGTCTTGGGCGTATCCAGCGAGGCATCTTTCAGCTTACTCACAATCTCCGACACTCAATGCAAATCGCTGGCACACTTACGCTAGTTACAAAAAAAAAAATATTAAAGGGTTGTGTCCTAGACACGACCGCAGTATGACGTAGAACTATGCAAAATTGATGTTTGTCATGGATTTTTGAATATTATTCTTAATTTTTTCAAGTATTTCAATGTTTCGGTTATGATTCAAAACTCGCGACAATTCATGTTAGCTTCATGTTCATCTTACGCATGAGATAATGTATTTAAATTTAATGTAATGGTTAAGAATTTTCCCTACATAACTACATTCGGTTGATCAATGTTGAGCTATTTTGCTGTGATCAATGTGCACTAAATTCGACATTGATATCGACTACAATAGGAACTGACACTATTTCGCCATATATTTTTTGTTGATTTGCACCTCATTATAGTAAACAAAAACGCCATGCATGATGTTGGATAAAACAATTCCCAAAAAATATGTTTTTTTTTCAGTAGTTCCATTGTTATTTTTAAAATTAGGTATCTGAAGCAGAGCAGAGAGGGAAGCTTGCATCTGAGACAAACAGACATAACACTAGCAAGTTGTTCATCGAACCAGCATTTAATGGACAATTTAAAAGTATTGTAGTTGGTAGTACCACCACCTTGGGCTACAAAATGGTGAGTTGACAACCTGGAAGGAGCGGAATACCTAGCCCTGGTCCTCACAAGTTCCTACTTCACGCCTCCTCGAGTCATATGATAACAAAAGACTACCAGCTGAAACATGGACACAGCTGGTTGGCGTAGCCTGGGCAATGTTGCCAGTCCGGCAATAGCAAAGTGAAGAGGTGCGACGCGAACACTGGCGCGGTAACCATAGTACGGTGATAGAGGAAATGCTTCACCAAACCTGAGCGTCTGCTCACCATGGAGGTGCGGCTCAAAACGGCGTCTGTTCTCCATGTTAGGAGCGGCTGATCACCGTCCTAGTGCCAGCGTGGGACTCTAAACAGAGCTGTGCACGATGGTCCCCCGGCGAGACAGGGGGTTGGGGCAGGCCCAACAAGCCGCCCTGGAAAAAAACAAAGTTGCAAATACCGAAGAAAGAAATACGGATCGGAACAATCGGCACAGACCTACGCGACGAAATAAGGACTACGATTGGAAACTCGGAACATGGAACTGCAAATCGCTCGGCTTCCCGGGTTGCGATAGGTTAATCTATGACGAACTTCAACCACGCAACTTCGAAGTCGTAGCACTGCAGGAACTTTGCTGGACGGGACAAAAGGTATGGAAAAGTGGGCATCGAGCGGCTACTTTCTACCAGAGCTGTGGCACCACCAACGAGCTGGGAACCGGCTTTGTAGTGCTGGGTAAGATGCGCCAACGCGTGATTGGTTGGCAGCCGATCAACGCGAGGATGTGCAAGTTGAGGATTAAGGGCCGTTTCTTCAACTACAGCATCATCAACGTGCACTGCCCACACGAAGGGAGACCCGACGACGAGAAAGAAGCGTTCTATGCGCAGCTGGAGCAGGTGTACGACGGCTGTTCGCAACGGGACGTCAAAATCGTCATCGGCGACATGAACGCTCAGGTAGGACGGGAGGCAATGTATAGACCGGCAATCGGGCCAAACAGCCTGCATGCCGTATCGAACGACAACGGCCAACGATGCGTGAACTTTGCAGCCTCCCG